AACAGGCTAACATCAGGCTAACAACAGGCTACCATCAGGCTAACATCAGGCTGACATCAGGCTGACATCAGGCTGACATCAGGCTTACTGCAGGCTAACAACAGGCTAACAACAGGCTAACATCAGGCTTACTGCAGGCTAACATCAGGCTACCATCAGGCTTACTGCAGGCTAACATCAGTCTAACATCAGGCTGACAACAGGCTACCATCAGGCTAATATCAGGCTAACATCAGGCTAACATCAGGCTTACTGCAGGCTAACATCAGTCTAACATCAGTCTAACAACAGGCTAACATCAGGCTAACAACAGGCTACCATCAGGCTAACATCAGGCTGACATCAGGCTGACATCAGGCTGACATCAGGCTTACTGCAGGCTAACAACAGGCTAACAACAGGCTAACATCAGGCTTACTGCAGGCTAACATCAGGCTAACATCAGGCTTACTGCAGGCTAACATCAGGCTAACATCAGGCTAACAACAGGCTAACATCAGTCTAACATCAGGCTAACATCAGGCTAACATCAGTCTAACATCAGGCTAACATCAGGCTAACATCAGGTTTACTGCAGGCTAACAACAGGCTACCATCAGGCTAACAACAGGCTAACAACAGGCTTACTGCAGGCTAACAACAGGCTAACATCAGGCTAACAACAGACTAACAACAGGCTTACTGCAGGCTAACATCAGGCTAACATCAGGCTTACTGCAGGCTAACATCAGGCTAACATCAGGCTAACATCAGGCTTACTGCAGGCTAACATCAGGCTAACATCAGGCTAACAACAGGCTAACAACAGGCTTACTGCAGTCTTACTGCAGGCTAATATCAGGCTAACAACAGGCTAACAACAGGCTTTACTGCAGGCTAACATCAGGCTAACAACAGGCTAAAATCAGGCTTACTGCAGGCTAACATCAGGCTAACAACAGGCTAACATCAGGCTTACTGCAGGCTAACATCAGGCTAACATCAGGCTAACATCAGGCTTACTGCAGGCTAACATCAGGCTAACATCAGGCTAACATCAGGATAACAACAGGCTAAAATCAGGCTTACTGCAGGCTAACATCAGGCTAACAACAAGCTAACATCATGGCAACAACAAGCTAACATCAGGGCAACAACAAGCTAACATCAGGGCAACAACAACATGACATCAAGGTAACAGCAGGCTGAGCACAGTGCCACCTGGTGACTCACCTGTTGGTTGTGTGTCTTCCTCACAGGTGAGTAACGCTGTGGCCATTGTCKGGCCTCCAGGTCATCATGCTGAGAGAGACTCTCCCTGCGGTTTCTGTCTCTTCAACTCTGTTGCTCTTACTGCACGCTATGCACAAAACGTTTCCCATGATCCTTTGCTGCGAGTCCTGATCCTGGACTGGGACGTTCACCATGGCAACGGGACGCAGCACCTGTTTGAAGAAGACGACAGGTGAGAAAGCAGATGAGTGAGATCACAGTGAGTGGATCTGTTGTCTGACCCTGTTTCTATCTACAGCATCCTCTACATCTCTCTTCATCGCTACGACAAAGCAGCGTTCTTCCCACATTCAGAGGATGCTGCCCCCGACCGGGTGGGCGTGGCCAAAGGGGTGGGGTATAACGTGAATGTGGCATGGAGTGGAGGAAGAATGGGTGACTCTGACTACCTCGCAGCTTTTCACCATGTTGTCATGCCAATCGCTACAGAGGTAAGTCCACAGTCAGAGAGCCCGGGTCAGAACTGGCTCTGATCCTTAGTTAATCAGGATTTGGACTCTTTGAACAAACAGAACACAACCTTTCTCTGCAGTTTAACCCTGGCCTGGTTCTGGTGTCGGCTGGGTTTGATGCAGCTCGAGGTGATCCGCTGGGTGGATATCAGGTGACTCCAGAGGGTTACGCCCACCTCACACATATGCTGATGTCACTGGCCGGGGGGCGTGTCCTCATGGTCCTGGAGGTGAGCTCACATATTAGACCATTTATTAACAACACGTTACTGTGTACAGTNGTACAGTGTACTCTGTGTACTCTGGCGTTATCATAATTGTCTTTCTGTTCGATTTTTCTGTTCTTTTTATTGGCTGATGTGGAATTCCGACTCCTCTGATTGGCTGTGGTTTCTTTGTTTCAGGGAGGTTATAACCTGACCTCCATCTCTGAATCAATGGCAATGTGTACCAGCGTGTTGCTAGGTGACCCTCCTCCCTCCCTGGCTATGCCCCTCCCCCCTCCTCATCACTGCGCTGTCTCAGCCATCACAGAGGTCATCCGACACCACGCCCCCTACTGGAGATCCCTGAGGATTCACAGTGAGTTCTGAGCCTGGTCTAAGTCTGTGTGCCCTGAAACCCATCTCCCAGTCTGAACCTTCCTGTCTCCCAGTTCCAGAGTCAGTGTGGTCAGCCTTGCCCTCCTCAAAGCATCGTGGGAAACGTAGTTCTAAAGTCAAAGACAGGCTGTCTGACAAGCTGCAGATACCCCCCGCTGAAGCAGAGCTGTCCAAGGTAACGATCCAATCAGAACACGAGATTCTGTTGAAGATTTATCTGGTCCAATCAGAGACGACGCTAGAGCAGCGCAATCATCAGACAAACCTCAGCCAATCAGACACATCCTGTGAAACAGACATGTGAAGCATGTGAAACACGTGAAACATATTTAACATGTTAAACTCATGTGAAACATGTTAGACACATGTGAAACATGTTTAACTCTTGTGATACACGTTAAACATGTTAAACACATGTGAAATATGTTAGTCATGTGAAACATGTTACAATCATGTGAGACATGTTAAACTAATGTGAAACATGTTAGTCATTTGAAACATGTTACTTTCATGTGAAACGTGTTAAACTCATGTAAAACATGTTAGTCATTTGAAACATGTTATTTTCATGTGAAACATGTTAGACTAATGTGAAACATGTTAGTCATTTGAAACATGTTACTTTCATGTGAAATATGTTAGTCATTTGAAACATGTTACTTTCATGTGAAACATGTTA